CTGTTGTGACTTCGACCGTGTCTGCACCGGCGTGTTCCGCAGCGAGGAAATAAATGGCGAAGCAGCGCTGTTTGCCTGCCTGACATCATCTTTTTTTGTTGTTGTTTTGCCTGAGGTTGACTCCCTTACGTCATAACATATGGATGAGTTGTGTCTTTTTCTTGAAATCCTGGTATTCTTTGGTGTATTAGTCTTTTTAGGTCTCTTGCTGCTTACCTCCTCCTCAGTCCCTAAGCTATAGGTCTTAGAGGAATGTCCAGGAGTTGTCAATTCCCCCGATAGAAATAGCTGCTGATAGGCATTTGTCTAACCTGTTTTAACCCTTTCCACCGTTCACAATTTCACAACCTTTCTAGGCAATTTATTCCTTTTCTCTCTTCTCTCCCATCCACGTCCTTTGAATTTTTCTTGACTCCCACGGAGAGAATCGGAGAGCTTCTCTTTGGCTTGGTTTCTTGTTAGTTCTGCGTTTTGTGCCTTGGTAATATTTGGAGATGTAAGTGTAAAGTTTTTAAGCACCAAAGTTTACTTTTTAGCAGAAATGTTGTTATGAATGCAGGTCTTGAATGTTGCTTTTCTCTCCAGCCAGAGGCAGGGGAACAGCGTCTGAGACATCGCCATGTCTTGTTTTGGTTTTTCTAAGTCCTAGACTTGGTGATTACATAATTAGCAAAATCTGAGTAACAAAGCAGTTGTATTGCTTGCTTAAAGCAAACGAATAATTCTTTTGTCATACGCATCACAGCATCCTTGAATTGAGGAGCAAGTTTTCTTTAGGATTAATTTTTGACCTCCTGAGATTGTTCACATACTTGTGTTATTTTGCAAAGAAATTTCTAAGCTGGTTATTTCGCAGGAAGGTGTCCCCGGGAAGGAGCCTTCGGTTGGCAGCCTCGGTCTGGTGATCAAGGCTGGGAGCACGCCACTCTCAAAGCAGTGGTGATGTTTTTCCACTGCTGCTTGAAAGTAATTTTTGTCTTCTTTTGTAGTTGGGAAGACCTCTCTGATCACCAGGTTTATGTATGACAGTTTTGACAATACTTACCAGGTATGTGGTAGCTTTTTTAAAAAATTTATATATATATATGTGTATACACACACGCACGCACATATATATATATATATGTATATATGTGTGTATATATATATATATGCGTGTGTGGGGGTGAATCTGTTCCCTGCTATATAAAACATATGCCTGCATATAGATAGATCTGCCAGAAGTCAGGATGGTAGATTCTCCCTCTCAATTTTTTTTTCACTATTTAATTTTCTTTTTTTACTAAAAGATTATAGATGGAAAGAGTAGGGTAGGGATGAAGAGGCTGCAGATGAAAAGCTGAAGGTGTGCAGGAGGCCTGAAGGTTTCAGAAAGAGTTAGTTAACATCAGAAGCACTTGGCAGTATTTCAAGGGAATATCTTTAAAGACGATGAGACTAGGATGTTACCTTTTAATTCAGGACAGAAAGAGTTACTGGTTTAGATAATTTTAAGTTGAAAAAGGAAGAGGATTGTTTTCTTGAGGACAAGTCATTCACTAAATTTGGATCCTCTTGTGCTTTCTGTGTTTCTTTCCTGACCTCTGTGAGGTGCTCTCATAGATTTGTCTGCTTATTGTAGTTGTCATAAACTGTGTTCTGGCTGCAGAAAATAGAGGACTCCCTGAAATAAGTACTCACTACAGAAACGGACTGTTGTGGCCTCTTCTAATGTCAAACAGTTCGTGGAGACTTTCCAGAACACGTTATGCTGCCCATGTTTGTTAAGACTGGACATAATCTGTCTGAAATATTAAAATCTGTTACCTCAGTAACCTCCCTCCTGTTTCCCAGGCTTATGATGGACTGGGTTGGTCTGCTTGATGGAAGTGCCTGGGAGCACATTTAAATGACTAAATGACTTCAGATGTCTTTGTACCGGAATTGCGGTACAGTGATGGAGACGTGAATGGAAGGAGACTTACAGAAAGAACCGCCAGGGAAACGAAGCTTCTGAATGTCGCTGGAAAGGAAGCATGTGCTGAAATGGAAAGCCCTGAATAAACGTTGCTTTCCAGCTCTCAGCACAGTCTTCCACAGTTTATCTGTGTACCTTGCTCTGCTGTCTGGTTATTTCTATTAAGATAACGCTTACCAGACTGAGCTGTGGTAGACCAGAAGGAGATGACAGTTCAGATAGGATCTGTGTTAAGATGCGTGAGTGTCTGAGCCTAAAATTGACACTCGGATGTTCTTGTGCAATTGAGAAGTGTTGGATGAATGATGTGGAATGAAGGTGGTGCCGATACCCAGATTGTCTTGTTTTTATCAACTGTATTGAAGGCAAATGACTTCAACAGCTTAATTTGAAGTTTGTGACCGTTGCTGAGAGTTTGTGTAGAGAGCTCTGATTTGCAGATGCTGGAAGGCAAGTTGCAGTTGCTAATGCTTTTCTTCTTTTCAGGCGACCATTGGAATTGATTTCCTGTCAAAAACGATGTATCTTGAAGATCGCACGGTAAGTGGGGCATCTCTGTGATCGCATGGCAACCGCAGGCACGGGAGCAGCGGTTGCTGTGTGTGCCGTGTCGCCTGGCCAGTGACTGCTGAAATCCCCCAGCAGCCTTCGAGGGACAGCTGATGTTGAATCAAACCGCTGACCCACTCTCTTCTTTCTGCTCTTTGTTGATATCCCATACCCCTAGAGTAGGAAGTCAAAATCATTCATGCAAAATTGAGACGAGCTGAGGTCTGTATCCAAGGGAATGGGCTGTCTGCTGCATGTACCTGGGGTGTAGCTCGCTCCCGGAGTTTGCAGCTCTGCCTGTGGGTTTGGCGGTATAAATGGGTCTGAGCAGACCCCAGGCAGTTCCAGGCCTCGAAGTTGTTTGTGCCTACCACTGGTGGCATAGTTCTTCCTCGTAGAAAGGCTCCTTTTGTAACACAGTTCTGACAGACTGTTAATAATTTTCAATTTAGCTTGCATGAGATTGCTTTTTGCATAAAAAGATCCCTCACATCCCTCTTCTGTCTCTCGGTATTTGTCTTTTCATGAGTTCCTGTTTTGCTAGTACTTGCCTTTTTGCTAGTTTCACATCTGGCTGAGAAGTATGAAGCTCTTGCGGGCAGGAAGGGGCCAGTGGTGCGATGGAAGTCCTTTGGGTCCGTTGCTTCTGAAGAAGTCCCAGCCCAGTGTGTGTTGGGAGCTCCCGTCTTACCAGTGATTCACTATTAGAAAAGACCTCACTTAACCTTTTGTTTGAGAGAAGCTACTTGAATAACATTCTTCAGTGATGCTGGCAGTGGTAGAAGTGTAAAAGGTGTTGGGAATGCTGCTTGACGCAGGTGAAGGCAAGCTGGAATGCCTGTGTGTTGTTTTCAGTTGTGTAGTCTTGATGTCTTGGGGTTGTGTAGGTCAGAATGTCATTCGCCTGCTACCTGGAAAATACTGTTTTCTTTCCAGTGTTGGATATATTGTTGGCTTTCTTGATTATGTAAGTGATTCACAGAGCCCATCAAGCCTGTTTAAATGACAGAGAGGTGTTGAATGCAGATAAGAGGAGGCAAAAATACAAGCCCACAAGCTGGGAAAACTCAGACGTTGAAATAATTTCTCAGAGATGGCTAATGCTGTGTTTTACAACAAGCTTTGACTGCTGGGCTTGAAATGAAGCATTCTAAGCCTCTGACTGTGGTGTATGCTTTGGCATATTTGATATTTCCTTACCAAATAATATATTTTGAAATTAGACCGGGGTGGCATGTACGAGCCAGCAGAAGGGATGAATGTAAACAGTTTGGTTCTTCAAAACCATCTCCCGTAGCCTCCCCCAGAGGGCGGCTCTAAGTGTGCCACTTGCAGCACGTTGCCAGTGGCCCTGTGTGAACTGGGGCCCCGAGACGCCTCATCCTTGCTCCCCACTGCCAGCCTGCCGCTTCCCTGGCACAGCTCCCGCCTCGGTCTTGAAAGACCGAGTAGGATTTCCTTTTCTGTGGCTTGATATCTTCTCAGATGTGTCGGATTTAAGCGTGAGATAAGCGAGTCCAGAGGGTGTTTGCTGTTCTAGCCCGTACCCGGCTACTGTGTTTCACCACGTCAGGCGTTGCAGAGGGTTAACTGATCGCGAGGTGGTGTCATCCTTACGCTTAGGTGTCCCTACGCTTAGGTGTAGGCTGCAGCCTGCCCGTGGGGCTGTTACAGCCAGAGGCCTGACACGGCAGGATGCGCTGAGGTATGTATGTTTATCTCCCTCGTTAGCAGACGGTGTGAGAAAGTATTTTTTTAGGGATATTTTGGGTGTACGGTTAAATGGCGGAACGTGTTCACGTGTGCAAGTTATTGACGGGTCTGTGGAGGGAGGGAGGTTTCTCAGACGTGCTAGGCTGAAGTTACTGGAATTGCAGTTGGAAGTGTCGTTGGCTCTTTTCACATTTCTGTTCCGTTTTAACTTTCCTTTTGTTGCGTTATTTTTGCCTTGCAATTTTATTTTTTTTACTTTTTATTTTAGTTTTAAAAGATTTTTATTTCACTTGAGTTTTTGGTTTTGTTTTCCATTTTCCTGCTCTTCCCCTTCCCTCTTCCCCTACACTTTTCCATTTCCCAGATCAGGCTGCAGCTGTGGGATACAGCCGGCCAGGAGAGGTTCCGCAGCCTCATTCCCAGCTACATCCGTGACTCTGCTGTGGCTGTCATTGTCTTTGACGTTACAAGTAGGTACTGAGCCGGAGTGTCTGCAGGGACCTTGCTTTTAACATGTACCTTTTATGCATTGCAAGCGGTGTCGTGTCTGAAAAGAGCTAAGATAGGCCGTCGGCTCCATCTAGGTGTTTCGTGGGCTGAGGGGACGTAGCTGAGCCTCTTTCCCCTCAGTCAGTGGTTACTCCATCCCGTAATCCAGAAACTGGGGAATTGTTTAACCCTGCTCTGCTCAAAGCTCAAGAGCTGGAAGTGATAGGATTGGCAGGTAGGTGAATAGGAGTTGGGACTCCCTGTGTGTGCTGATTGGAGTGAAGGGTGACTGGTAATCTGTAGAAAGCTTTTTAATTTTTCTGATTTTTTTATAATTAATTTTTTTAAAACTTCAGAATGATTTTCTTTTTTTCCTTTCTGGGTAACAAGAGGTAATAGAAGTAACAACTTCAGATGCCAAAGCACTGCGAGCGTAGGTAAAACAGGACGACACCTGTTTAAATAAAAGCTATAGAGTGACTTAGGAAGGGTCAAGACTCCCGTTTCATTGAAGAGAGATGGCAGTTCACATGAGTAATGAGAGAGCTGTTGAAAGAGAAGAGATGTAACTATCATAATTTGTAAAGAATAAGCAAGCTTAGAGGGAAATTCTCTATAACTCTTGGCATGAATGTTTGAGTATAAGCTAAAAAGATATGAATACAATTATTTCATCATAACTCCTTGTTAGTGATTCTACTTCGTCCAGCTTTTTCGGTTAAGCTGCAGTATCAGCGTAAATATCCGGACAGGATTTATTCCTTCGATCCAACACCACATGGACAAAGTCTTAAGTAAAAAACTTTGTATATGAAAAACCTCTGTCCGGCCTTGATTCAGTCACAAGCTCTAGATTATAGGAAGGCTTTGTGGCCCAGGGCTTTGTTTCACTTTGTGGGGTGCTGTTTATCCAGGCAGGTGGAAAAGTCTTGCCAGTCTAAGCTGTTCTCAACAGCTTCCAGACATGTCAAAAATAACTGATAGTTGATCCCACTATGCCTTGGTAATGGTCTGATCTTTTCAGACAATTTAATTTTTTTCTTGTTATCGCTCTTTGTAGCGACTGAGAGGCTTTTAGTTTTCTCGTGGAGCTGAAGGAACTTGTGCGCTTCCGAGGGTGTGATGCTGGTGAGCACTAGTGTGACTGGGTAAACAGTTTCCTTTACTCCTCTGAAGAGTTACGTATCTGTGTTGTCTTTAGTGGTAACTGTTTGGGAACCTCAGATAGTTTCCTGTACGATAATGCTGGTCATGGTGATGTAAAATACAGACAGTCCCATAGGACATGCTTGAGTGCCAGCCAGGAGATTCCTGACCAGCAGAGAAAAAACTTGAGCGAGCATGTGAATTACCAGGGCTGGTTCTTCCCCAGTTCTCTGGTCCTGCCTCTGTGGCCTTTTTTGACTGTGAGTCTGAAAACTGGAGTGTTCAAATCACCACATTGATCCAGTTTCTGGGTGGGTCGCCTGGTGTAGCAGCAGTGTCTTGGGGACACGGGGGAAGCTTCTTGTGAAATCCAGAAGCCGTCGTTGTCAGTCTGATCTTCCAGCCCCGGCAGTGTGCTGTCCGGGTGCCTGGAGTTTGTCGCCCTGAGTTTCCTGGGGTAATGAAAAGCTCTGACTTTTACTACTGTAATCAAGGCTGCCTTCGAAATGAAGCATGCACTAATTGCTTTAACGATAAGCCCTAACCTTCCTTAAGCCCCAGGGCATCACATCCACATACCCTGATGTAAATACCACGTTGTTTTGAATCTGCTGTGGTAAGGCGCTTTGCAGAGAGGCGCTCTGTCCAGCTTCTGGTGCAGATAGGTGCTCTGTCCGGCGCCTGTTCCTCTTCTAACCAAGCCAATTATTAGTCCTCCTGAAAATGCTTTCTCCCTTGTAGCCAGTCTCCGGCCAGCTGCCGTATTAACCACTGCCCTGTGCCTGAGCAGCTGCTCTCCCTCATTGCTGGGCAAGTGGCTTTGCGAGCACGTCTGAGCGATTCATGTGCTTAAGCTGGGGACCAGCATCTGCCCTCCTGCTTGCTGAGAATGCCAGCAGCAATCTTGTTTTCTGGCAGTGTAGCCCTGCTTGTGGGGGTAACGACTTGGAAGGAAGTCGTATCACTCCCAGTTGTGAAAAGTGTTTGTTGAGCATTTAATGCCGTAGTTGGGCATGTTTCGACCATTGCTGTTTCAAACAAGCAGGTTCCAGACCTTTTTGCTGTCGTATATAATTTTACAATTTATGTTTGGGCATAGTTCTGGCAATCCGACTGTACCTCTCACAGCATTTGTGCTTGTTTCTGACTCTTGTGCTTATCTGGAAGGGAGAACCCGATGCTCTTTGTGCCATGTGAAGCCTACAGTGTAACGTTTGCTTTTGTTTCTGCTGGAACTTAAGTTGTTGATTGCCTTAACCTTGCATGAAAATCCCTGTTGCCATCTTCTGGATGCTTGATGCTGGAGAACGGGTGCTGTTTTACTACATGGAGTTTGGGCTGAGGGAATTGCATGCCTATCATGGAAGAATTGCCGAAAAAGCTTTGATCTGAGATGCTTTAGGCCAGAAGTCCTGGGAAGACCCCGCACGTAACCCTGAGTAGACCAGAAAGAGCAGCTCCGTGTTACTCGTTAGCTACCCCTACTAGCAGTGAGGTAGCAACCCCAACCTCGAGCTCTTTGGGAGCAGCAGAATCTCGAGGCAGTGCAAAGGAGGGAATTCAAGCTCATCATCTACAAACAGTCAGAAAAGCCAACTGGTGTGATGTTTGGGTATTTGGGGTGAGATTACAAGGTCAGCCTCAGCTTCTCGGGCTGAGCTGCATAGAATCAATTCTAGAAATGGCCTTTTCTCTAAAGGACAGTTTCCTCCTTTCTTTTCTCTCTTGCTCTCTCTCTCTCTGCTCTCCCTGGCCTGGTACCAGCAGGTTCGGCTGCAGCTCTGGGACACGGCAGGCCAGGAGCGGTTCCGCAGTCTCATTCCCAGCTACATCCGCGACTCCACCATTGCAGTGGTAGTCTATGACATTACAAGTGAGTGATGCTTTGGTGTCTCATTATTAGAAATAACTACAGGTAAGCAGAGCTGATATGTTACGACCAGGAGCTCTGCAAAAAGATGATTAATGTTAGAATGTTTTTTCCCCCCTTCCCCCCCCACCTTGTTTTTCTCTCTGAGCTGAAAACAATTTGCGGGTCATTTGTATGTGGTGTGGGGAGATTTGGAGAAGCACCTGAGTACAGGTGTTTTCTCTCTGAAAAGGAGTTTTATCCTCACCACTCCCATTTGATTCTTCCCTACAGACTTGAATTCTTTCCAGCAAACCTCCAAGTGGATTGATGATGTTCGGACAGAGAGAGGAAGCGATGTCATCATCATGTTGGTGGGGAACAAAACTGACCTGGCAGACAAGAGGTAACGGAGTGGGGCTGGCAGCCTCGCTGCCCCGACCGATAAAAGCAAGGAGCTGGGCAACTAGTCCGTCTTCACAATAGTTGTTGATATTAAGTGAAGCATAAATAGCTTGTTGGAAATTCAGGCTTCTGGTTTCAGCATACACAAAGTTATTCTCTTCTGCTATTCTATGAATAGTTTTGGTTAAAACAAACCCACCTGAAAAAAATCCTCTTACATAAATTAAGTATCTCTCTACCATGTTACTTAACAGGGTATTTTGTCTGATTTTTCTTTTTGTGCTGAGATAAAGCCAAAAAGATGTCTTGCAAAAGCAAGGAAATCTGCTTTTTTCAATAATCCTATTTACATGATTACTTCTGTGTATGCAACTCTAAGTTCATAGTAAAGTTTCTTGTTACAAGACGCAGCATGAGCTTTTACGGCGTCAGTCTGAAACGGTGTAGATAAGGAAAGATTTTTGTTTGGATGGTTCATATCAGTAGTAGTTGGCAAAGGGAAGATGGAGTAAGCCATGCAGCTCCTTACAGTCCCAGTGCTTTAAAACTGAAACGTCTCCACGTACACTAGGTACTGTAAAATCATGTGTCGTAGGATCTGTGAAGTGCTGAAATTATGGGAGATTCTTGTCTGATGGCAAAGAAAGCGTCTCACAAAAGCAGAACTGGGGATCATACAGCCAAGTGGGTTCTGAGCTGTTCGCAAGACACTTCTGATCAAAAGATAATGGCCTGAAAAGCCTTACAGGTGGAACGTTAGTGTTTTTCAGAAAAGTCTTGCATTATTCTCAGAACTGCCTGTGTATTTGCTCTGGTTTTGGGGATGATGGGTCTAATAAGGATCTGTTCCTTTGTTGAATGCTATTGCGTTTTGAATTCTCAACCTTGCTTTACTGGCTCCTGCAGTGTGTGCGTTGCTCCAGCATGCAGTGTGACGTGGTCTGGTTTGGGTTTTTTTTCCTTTGTGGTTTTGGTGTTGTCCAAACGCTCGTGCGAGACCACACCCAGCGTCCCTGGTTGCACAAACTGGTATCAGGAGATGGATTTTTTTGCCCCTTGTCCCTGAACAAGTCCTGCTTTTAGTTTTCAGCCTGCCATGCCTAGCAGGAGAAGCACAGACAATTCAAATACCAGCAAGTGGTTTGAGTCAGTGGGGCTCCAGTGTGTGGGCTGATGGTTCTTAGAGAAACGTGTTCTGTGCCCTCCACGCAGGCCACCTTAGCCTTAACAAATATTTGGCTTTTCTCACTCGCAGCGTGAGGCCCTTCTGAGTGTCCTGTGCCTTGCACTTTGGAAAAACCAGGTGCTCAGAGCTTCAGAAATACGATTAAAATTTGCAGAGCTAATTTGGATTAAGAATTCCAGATGACAAGACCTCAGATCAGTCTGATCTCTGAAATCAGCTTACAAAAGCAACAGAGCAAAATCCAAGATGTTCCGCTTGAGGCAGCTCCGGCTGTTGACCACTTAGTCTCTCTTCTGCCCTCCTGGGAGCTAGAAATAACTGAATAACCTGGCATTTAGAGTTGAGGCTTTCTGATTTCAATCACAATCCGATTTCGTGTGGAACTGGAAAACCCAGTGGGGTAATTTCAGCCTTGGATTATTTCCCGGGAGTACCTAAGTGGCACGTGGGTGCAGGACAGCTGTCCCAGCACTGCTGTAAGAATTAAAAATACCCAAATTGTTTGAAACATCTCTACAGTTTGAAGTTCGCATAGCACTAGAAATTCTTAATTTAGAAGGTTAATGTAAGTGGCAGTAGTCCTGGTCAAGGCTAGAATTTGGAATGCTAGTTTCTCTCCAGGATTCAGTTAAAGAAGCTGCCTCGCCTTTCGTTTAAAAGGAGGTTAGATTTGTGTTAGGCTGAAATGACGGGGCCTTTCAAGGCTGGACAAAGCCGCGGTATCAGTCTGAGCCTGGTCACGTTTTCCGAACTGGAACGCAGCATGTTGGAAGCCATTCATCCTGTGGTAAAAACTGAGCGGTGATGCAAGTGAAGTTCTGAGCCAAAAAGCTGAACTAAAAATAGCGCCGTTCTTCCTTGGTGCAGCCTGTTAAGTTTTTTTCTTTCCTGTTCATGTTACTTCAGTCAGCGGCTGTTTTTTTCCTGCGGTTTTCTTTTTGGACTTTTTTCCTTTGTTTTGGTTTTTCCTTTCTGTGATTTGTTCTCGTTGCTGTAGACAGGTTTCTATAGAGGAGGGTGAGAGAAGAGCCCAAGCACTGAATGTGTGTTGAAACCAGTGCTAAAGTGGGAGGTAATATGAAAGAGGTTCTGCACAGGGTGTTGATCAGAGGTGTGTTTGCAGGCAGCAGCCTGCCATTTGCTGTTGCGCTGCACTCGCTGCTGGAGCCTTTCTGAAATCTTTCCGTAACCTCACAGAGATCCCTTCTGTTGACTTCTGGGAAACCGGTTTTTTTTGTATCAGGTGCATCTTGTGGGGCTTCTTCCTTCCCTTGAGGGTGCTGTGAGTGAGGCTCCAATGTACTGCACAAATTCCATCCTGTGATGGTTGTCTGTTATCAGTAGCCTTAAGTCCAGGCGTTCCCGGGGTAACTTCCCTGAGGTTATTTCGTTCTCAGCTGGAGAACCTGGGGGTCTTAAAGATGAGAGGTCCCGAGGTCTCCGTCAGTGGCCTGTGCAGCAGCTCTGCAGCTCTCTGCTGAGGAGCACCTTGGTCACAGACATCTCTAACTCAGCCTGTTTTTCTTTCTTATCTTTCTGCTTCTATTTGCATCTTTGTCCAGGCAAATCACTACAGAAGAAGGTGAACAGAGAGCCAAAGAGCTGAATGTGATGTTTATTGAGACCAGTGCAAAGACTGGATACAATGTGAAACAGGTAGATAAATGTCCTGTTGTAAAGATGGGGAACGTGCTTCTGCTCGGGGTTCGTGTTCCATCGGGTGTTTGCTCATAATGTCACCCCCTGAAATGCTCCTTGTGCAGTAGTCACTGCTGCTGCTTTATCTAGTGGGAGCTCCTTCCCTCTCAGGTCACTGATTCCCTGTTACAGCTGAGCAAACTTACCTTGAAAGAAGAATGTAAGAGCAGAATGTGCTGAGGGGTAGGAATGGCTCTGCTTTGTGCAGCCAGTCAAATGTAATTTTGTATTTTGTTAACAGTGAGTGCACTGTTTTATAAAATCGTTGTTGACATCAGTTGGGATCATTGCTGATGCACTAAAGTAGAAGTTCCTTCTTCTGTTTGCAAGCTGCAGAGGAAAATCGTAGAATAGTTGAGATTGGAAGGGACCTCTGGAGATCATCTAGTCCAACCCCAGTGCTCGGAGCAGGCTGCCCGGGACTGGCTCCAGTTGAGTTTTGCATATCTCTAAAGGATAGAGACTCTTTCCAGGCAACCTGTCACAGTGTTTGACTATCCATACAGTAAAAAAAGAAACAACTTAAATGTTTTAATGCAGTTTAGTCTTTGGTTCTAACTTACTGGGCAAATAAAGCAACAGTAGGTGTTTGCAGTGAGAGCTTCAGGGACTGAAGCAATGCTAACCGCAGTGCCCTGCTGGTGTCTCAGTGGCTTGAGTTTCCAAGTGACACAGTTTGACAGGGTGGATGAAAAGCCCCTGCCAAGCTGCTGTGAGAAAAACCACCATTAGCTGGTGATTCCTCTAATTCTTCGTGCAGCGCTTTGCACCAGGCTGCACAGGGGTGTCTGTGTTGCGTTAGCTGCCACGTCAACGGGAGGAGCTCTAAGCATCGACTTGACAAATTACGCAAAACCATTTGCTAGTTTTTATGGGAGATACAGCAGTCCTTCCCAGCTCTAGCACGTCCTTAGTCGTGTAAATGCAGCTCACCTGAGCCAGCAGGTGTGCTCAGCAGTGGCTGTTCTGCAGCAGGACTGAACTGAAAGGACGGGCTGTAAAACCTCAGTGATTCCACAGACTTAAACCTTCGGTCTCTTGTGAGGATGCTTATCAGAAGCCGTGAGTAGTGCGCTGTGGGTGCAAAAGCAGTTGAGGCTTGGAAGTGGTAAATGACATGCTTACCGAGTGCAGGAGGGAATTGTTCTGTGTGTCTGTGGAAGAACTGTTAATAGTTAATTCCATGTTCTGTTCAAGTAGAAACAGGTAAAATAAAACTGTCTGTATTCTAGGTATTGAATAACTTGTTTAATAAAACCCGTTAAATGTCTTAGGTAAAATTCCTGTGGCGTTTGTTGACTGTTGCTTTGCTTACTGAAGTACCCATATAGCAAGTTTGTACAATTTGGACTCTTAAGATCTGCTGTAAAGTGATGTGTTTCAACAGGCATTTTTGTTCCTGACAAGCCTTCATCTTACCTGTTGCTCGTTTTCAGCTTTTCCGTCGTGTGGCTGCTGCCTTACCTGGGATGGACAGCACACCAGAGAAGAGCAAAGAAGACAGTATCCTTATTTTCTCATCAGTAACCTCTCCTGTTCTCCTAGAATTCGACGCTTGCCTTTTGTTAGGTTGGGCTTACTGACTTTTGATGCTTTGTGGGGCTGGGCCTTACTGGGGTTTTGCAGAGATGTGCCTGAAACAGCCCAGTCTGGTGGGGTGCTTACCTGTGGGCATCAGTTGAGGACCCTGCTTATGTTCTCTTTGTAAATGTACACAAGTGCTTATTTATAATGCAAGCACAAGTTTTGCTTTGTCCACTTAAGCTTGGGATTTAAAATACCGTAATACTTTCCTCTGGTTGCACGGGGCTGTCTTGTGGGCAGACTTGTCCTCTAAATGGTCTTGACAATCCTGAGTCTGCTGGGTTTGCAGTTAATCCTTTTTGGGCAGGAGGTGCTCTGACAGAACAACCGAGGGACCGCTAACAACCTTTCCAGGTGCCGATCCCTTTCTCTGTTCTTGTTTTCCCTTGAGCCAGGTGAATTCCTTAACTTGTCTCCTGCAGTGATTGACATCAAACTAGAGAAACCTCCTGAGCAGCCAGTAACGGAGAGCGGGTGCTCCTGCTAACAGGCCCGTTCTGTAGCAGCACATTCCCCAACCGGCCAGTCTCTCTGAAGAACATCACCGCTCATTGGCTAGGCAACCCTACTTGTGGGCTGAAAACCAACCTACTAAGCGAGCGAACTCCCTGTTTACTGGTGGGGAGCAGCCCCGGCCGCCCCTCTTACTGCATGGTATGAGCCCTGAGTGCAGAATGAGTGTCCTTGTCTTTTATTTTATTTTTTTATGTTGTTGCACTTTGGCACCGTGGTGCCCTTTACACTCTGTTTCTTGCCCTCCTTCCTCCCCCCTCCACTCTCTTCCTCACCTTGAGCCTGTCCGCTCAGATCTATCTTACGAATGCAGTGGAAGAGCCACCAAGTTAGGGAAGATGAAAATAAAGCTTGGGGGTGGGCTTTCCACCTTCCTTGCTGCCTTGCATCTTACCTGGTTCCCTGCCCACTCCAGCCCTGTCTTTGTCCTGCATCCCCACTTCCTCTCTTGAAAGGCTGCTCCTTTGAAACCAGTCAGTTTGACTTGGCCTTGCCTTTTTGGACAATACAGGTTATCTCTTTCTAGGCTTTTGCTTCCTGCAGGGCACACACAATAGGTTAGCTCCTCGGTTTCTCCTTTCTGTGGATGATCTTGGCTAACTCTTGCTCACGACTTCAGAGTTTCGCCCCTCACGTTACAACACGGCACTGGAAACCTCCCAAACTCTGATAGCTTTGGCCTTGTTGTTCCCGTTTGTGTGGCAGAGACACCCCACGGGCTGCTCTCGTCGGTCGGAATATTTTCCCACCCAGAGGACGCTGGTGCTTGGTGAGTGTTGGCTGTCAGGTGTGGGGAAGGAAGAGGGTGCAGAGGCTTTGCATCACGAGGCTGGGTGGGGAGAGATCCTCAAGGTGGTTCGTAGAGACCTGGGTCCTGTCTGTTAACAGCGAAAGCAAACAGCCGACCCAAAATCCATCACTACAGGGGCGATACCTGCCCTGGCAGTCAGGGATGCTGTTCAGGCTCCTTTCCTGGTCTCTGCTCTTCTGTTCTTCACATGGAGCAGGAGGGTTCCAGCAGACGGAAGGTTGGTGGTAGCTGTTCTACTCCTACCTAGGTTGCTGCTTGATGAAATTGTACACAGCTGCCTCTGCCTTTGTAGGAGGTTCTGGGTGTACAGGGTTGGCAGCCGTTCCACTTCTGGGGTAGTTTTAAGCTGCAGCATTGCCAAAGCTGAGACAAACCAGTGGCAGGGATTTATTGTCAGACCTGGCTAGAGGAATGTATAGAATAGAATCACAGAAGTTACGCTGCTCAAGTGAATTTTGGTGTCGCTTTCTCGACCTCGACAGTTGGGAATTGTATCCTCTTCCCCCTGCCCCTGGTTTCTGATGACGATTATGGAGCTTTCCAGACTTTTACCAGGGGTGTTTTCATCCACGTGTCTTAACCAGAAGTCTCTAGGTTTGTCGACAGTGAGGAGAATAAAACAAGTCAGATGGCTTTAAGCCATTCACCGTTCTTTCCGTCACCTGGCCAACGTCACGCTGACAGGGAGGATGCTAGCGGGCGGGAGAGCGGCTGACCGCGGTGGCACAGGTAGGGACAGCAGCGTTTCAGGGTCAGCGACGCTTCCCGAGCGGGATGCCTGGCGGTCACTGACCTAGCCTGTGGGCCGCTGAGGGAGGGGAAGGGACAGCCTGGGAGCGGGAG